GGGGGTATACATTTACGCTGCCTTTACCTCCTTAAGTTTGGACCATTCCCTGGGTTGCTCTCAATTGCAGCATGATCAGGTCTGCTTTTCAGTTCAGGCTTCAAGTGTAAAGCAGTTGAGTCAACCCCCTCTTTCCTACCCTTTACGCTCACAATTGTTGCAGACAGAAATTGAGCAGGGCTATGTAAATTACTGCTGTCTGTAAATATTCCCCAGGGCTTCTCTTGACCTCTGAGCTTCAGGAATAACTATTCTGCTGACTTCAGTGCATATAAGCACCACATGCTATGAGATCTATGTGGTGTAAAGAGCTGGAAACTAATTGTATGGGAATGAGATGTCAGTCTGGATGCTGCTGCTATAGAAATAAAGATGATGTATGATTAAAAATTAAACTTGTACAATAACTGCAGTGAAACCTTTACTTTGCTGGGAGGTTTTGCTGTGTGTGTGATATTTCAAAGGGGGGTGGGGTGGTTTTCTTGTTTGATGCTTTTTGTAGTGCTTTCAGTACAGCCTTCCACTGTAGGAAGATAGTTAACAGAGCTGTCTTGGGTAATTGCAAGTGTTGTTATTGCTTAGAGTATTGATGTTGTCTCCTTTACTTTGGGGACCAGAACAGACTTGGGAGTGGTGTTCCATCTGCACTGTCTTTATGGCATCTTACTATGACTCTCACAGCTTTGCTGAATCTTCTAGAGGATACTGAAACATTCAGGGAATAGCTTTGTGCTCCGGGTTGGGAACTCTTGGACAGATACGTGCAGTTGTGCTAGGTGCACGCTAGCTGTAAACTCTTCAGCTCCAGCTTCTGTCCATGTAAGTGGTATAACTAAAGGAATAAAAGGAAAGGACTGAAGTTACCCTGTTTAAGTAGTCCATAACATTGTGCTGCAAAGGGTCTGGAGCAGTTGGTTTTATAGCCTGACTTCTGGGGTAAACAGAAATTTAAGATTTTTACAGGGCATGTGTGAAAGCTTTGTCCTCCTGCCTAAGTTGCCCTTCACAGTTGAGATGTTTTATATTGCCAGCTTCTGACATCGAAATACACTTATAGGTACAGTTGGTACTAATTAAAAGGATAATGAAAACTCATTTTCATTTAAACTTTCTCTTTGCACTCATAATTTTTAGAGGTTTCTGACAAGCTCCAAACAACATTTCTGTTCCTGATGTTGCAATGACTTGTTCCAAATAACTGCCTTTCTTCCTTACCCTTAATATACTAAAAAAAGAATAGCCTGGAATAGCAATTCTAGCTTGCTTAAAATCTAGCCAAATAGGTGAATATACATTTTCCTTATTACTCTTCTGTTTTAGGGTTCCTTTTAAAAAGATGTTTTTAAAAAGAGTTAATGCACTGTTTGTTGCAGCAAAAGTGCTCACTGTGAGGGAGTTAGAGTGAAAAAAGGAGAGATTCTTGTATTGCTTGTCTCTGTGATTTTCTGTTTCTGTAGTCATTACCAGAGCTTGAAGTACTTATGGGTTACATATATAAAATGGCTGTTTGCACCTCTGTTTCATGGGGAACTCAAATCTATTGACTGCCAAACCCTAATTTACTGCTCTCCCCAATTCCCAGACTCTTCTAACCTCTGTCAACCCCCACGCTAACAAGCTGTACAGCATACCAGAAAGCTAGTTGCCAAGAACTGTTTGAACCCTAAAGGAGTTTTGTTTCAGCTTCTATACCTTTGCTGATCGAATCACTGGTACAAGAAGAGAGATGACTTGCTCCAGTTGGAAGAACTAAAATTATTTGGGGTAGTGTTTCCTGAACTTCGTGGGTTAGGAAGCTGCTGTCAGCCTTTATAATGGATCACTGGTGTAATGGGAGAGAATGGAGGTGTTCATAAATCTCACTGTTAACGCTGTTCCGCAGGCTCCTGACTATGGCTTCATGGATTAGGAACAATCTGTGGAAAACATCAGGAAAGGCTGATTTGGGGATCTATCTGCAAGACAAAACTGGAGTCCAGTTTAGAAAACAGTAGAGGGTGGTGCTGTACACTGCCTGCTCCGGTCGCTGGAGCAGACTGGCAGGATATGACTGCATGCTTCCCAGGTTGTCACCTTCTCCTGAACAGTGCCTCGAATCAGAGAGCGTTCAGGGTGGTGGTTTTACCAGAGGGTCATTTCTTCTGTGAGGTTTACAGTTGTGAAGAAAAATTGATTGCATATTGAAGATCAGTTGGTGCAGTGAGGTCTTTCTGATTGTACATGACCCTAAAATAATTGTGAAATGTCATTCTTAGTAGTTACTAATTAGATTAAAGAGATATAGTTTAAAAAAAAAAAAAAAGTACTGTGAACTTACTTCACTGTTCTTTAAACCATGCAAGAAGTAGTAAGCTGTTACCAAATTCTGCATTGTTTAATTCTGTGTTTGATTCTTTTGGATCACGTTGAAGAGAGATGTAATTTTTTTAGAAGTTAAGGAATGCTGATTAAAGGCACGTCTTTACTCAGATGCACTGTGGCAATTAAACCTTACCTTGGTAAAGGCTTGAATTGTGATAGGAAAATCCACATCCAATTTTAGCATATCTTGACGTACTGGAGAAACAAATAATTATTTAGCATTCCTACCTACTGTCATAGCATAATTGCAAAACTAATGGAGATCGAACACACTGGTCCTCATTTTCCCACAGGAGTGAGTTACAGGTAGATGTAGAATGGTTTAAATTGTATCCAGGCTGACAGACTTTCCTGTTAGCATCACCCCCCAGTCTTATCTGGGCTGGACTTCAGGCACTCGTTCGTGCAGTAGCTGGCAGCAGCAAATCTTGCCTCACTTGCAGGAGGGAGAGACAGGGCTCTAATACAGTCAGCATCCTGAAAATAATTCCATCGTTCCATCTCCTCCTGTTCAGCCTGCACAGGAGGATGAATAGAGGGATTCCGCAATCACTCTGTGTGATCAAGTCTGAAGAGAAAAGTCATCCCTTTGAATATGCTGAGCTAGGAAAGAATAGCGCTTCTCAAGCAGTGTTTTCTGCTTCTGCTCCTGTCTCTGGGCAGATCAATGCCTCCTGCTCAGAGTTATCACAGGCTGCTGCCAGGCCTGACAGGCAGTGTCAGGCACCTGATCGGCAGCAGTTGCCAGGAGCTCTGGTGTTGCTAATGCAATTTTTGTTCTCTAACCTGGCCTGCACCTACAAATGTCAAAGATCACAAAGATACCGGGCTGCTACACAGTCATTGCTTTTTGTTCAGATCTGAGGAGGTGTTAAACATGAACATGCAGTGCAGGAATATATAAATTCACACCAATGAAAGTGGGTCCTTTGCTGTTTGAGATTTGCTTCTGGTTATGAGTATGTTGATTGCTTTGTGTAGGCTTAATACACTCATATTGAGCTGAAAATAGCATAAGCAAAGGAGAAGAAGTGATTAGAGGTCATTTGTCTTCTGATCCTGACCTTGCCACAAGATTTCCTATCACCAAGGGCAATTCGCTTCCTTTGTAAAATCCGCTTAGTATTTCTGATCCCTAAAGGAGTTAGAAAGCTATTTGTCAATCACTTCAGAAGACTGGGAGATTCCTGACTGATTCCTGTTAAGAATATGAAGTATAATAAGGAGTAGCTGTAATAAAGAGAGTGCAAGGCAGACAATTGCAGTTTTTAGAAGCGTACTTGGATATGTCTTTTAGGGTTTGTTATGGGGTGAAAAGGATGCATTTTCTCATTGTGGCAGGGGGTAGGGTTTGCATTTGTTAAGAGCACCTCTAAATGGGCTCATAACTGCTAATGTTATAGTTTAAGATCCACTGAAACATTTGGTTTTTTTCTGTTACATGGAAAAAACATGGTAGATTTCTGATCTAGTTTAAATGTGTTTAAAAAAAATTGCTTATCCCAGAATAGTTAGGATTTTTCCAGTAAACATCTTTGAAAAAATCCATTGGGCCACTGTTTCCAGGAGGAAGCTGCTGTGTGGAAAGTACTAGGAAGTTCCTACCATGACCAGCTTACAAATTAATTGTAGTGAGTTGTCCCCATAATGTTTGTGTTTGAACAGCATTTAACACAGTGGGGCTTTCATCCTGTTTAGGTCTTGTAGTCACTGCTAGGTTAAACATATCCTCCCAGCACCATATTGTTCTATGAACACTTTCTGACATGTCAATATTTTTCTAATAACATAATGTCTGGGACTTCAAGCATTACTTCAGGTGTTGTCATGTCTAAGCTATGTGGAGATAGTTTCTTGTCTGCTCTCTCTTGCATCACTCTCACAACTGGGCAAGTTAGCCCTTCCCACTGCCACACTACTGTGCAAAAAACCTAATTTGGAATTCAGTTACCTAGAATCTTTTGGCAGACCTGCTTTTGTGGTCTCTTCACAGAAAACATTTGAATAATTATTTAAATAATTTAGCTTCCCAATTTTTTTTGAGTTTGAATTCTATTTTAGTTTCTGACTCTGTGATGTGAATCTGTACCGTAATTTTCTGCAGTTGTGACAGAATGTTTTAGTTAATGTGATGCTGAAAACAGCTTGATAGCTAGCTGACATGATCTGTCACAATCTGCAGGGTTATGGCCAAGAGCTCCATGATGTGGGCTTTAATTGGGGTGGCTGTCATGCAAACTACAGCTTGTCCTGCTCTCCGAAGATGACATTGTCGGCATCGGTTCAGTTAAAGATGACTTGGAATAATGTTTGTGCAGTTGAAGTCTGTGATTTAAACTAGGCTTTGCAATGTGGAAAAGAGAAGGGTGGTCTTTAATCCTTTAGGATTGGATTTCGATTCATTTGAGATCATCTCTTCAAAGTAAAGTACTGTGGTGATTATGTATACTTCACTTTGCTTACATGCCCCAGCTAGGAAGCAAAGTTTTAACCATTTCTCATTCCATTGACATGATGATCCTTTTGTATTGTCCTTGAGACTACAGAAGGTGTCCTTCTGAAATACACTCAGTCTTCATGCTGTAATTATAAATGAGTATTTTGATAAAATGCTTTCTTTTAAATATGGCTTCTTATAGGTGCAGCTTGTTGGTTTGGATGAAGAGAGCTCAGAATTCATTTGCAGGAACACCTTTGATCACCCCTACCCTACCACAAAGCTTATGTGGATCCCAGACACCAAGGGAGTATATCCAGACCTGCTAGCAACCAGTGGTGACTATCTGCGGGTGTGGAGAGTGAGTAAATCCTCCCTAGAAAAAGATAAACCATGATATGAATTGTGTTGCGTATTGATCTCACTTTCACTCAAGACCAGATTTTTTTTTGAAGTGAGTTATTTTCCTTTCAGGGTGTCTTCCTCTTGCTACAGTGTGGAGGTTAAGACACAAAATCAAGTCAGAGCACCTGATAATTTGTTTTCTTAACTGCAATAATGTGACTAAATATGAAGATTACAGGAGAAGCAGAATTATGATAGTAGTTGCTGTTTTAATCACTTTATTGAAGACAGAGATGGTGATTGTGTTTTCCAGAGCTTTAGGATGTAAAGCTGAGAGGAAAGAAACCCAGGATTAACACCTTATGTTTTGGAAGTGCAAGTGGAACAAGTCCTGTGATGTTGCTATTTAAGTCAGATGTTTCACTTTTTCTAAAGGTGGGTGAAACAGAGACCCGGCTGGAGTGTTTGCTGAACAATAACAAGAACTCTGATTTCTGTGCTCCACTAACATCATTTGACTGGAATGAAGTGGATCCTTACCTTCTAGGTGAGACTGACAAAATGCTACATTTTCAGCATGGAAAAGACACGCTTTTGAATTTAGTCTGGTGAAGTCTGGACTCGGACTGACTGCTGTGTCATTGCATATCACTGGTTAATTTGATAACTAACCAGTGGACAAACTTCTACATTAGAGAAACTGCCATTGTCTTGGGTTAAAAATAACAAAACAAAATGGAAAAAAAGCAGCTCATGGAGACTCTTTTGCATTGAAAGGTGCCCTGTCCAGTACAGAATGGGTCGCTTAGGTTGGATTAGGGGTGTTCCTTATCTGCAGATAAGGGAGTCTCAGTCTTCAGGGCTGGTGAGCTATTGTTGTAGTGCTAAGTAATGATGTAAATGAACTCTGCTTATTTTGGTGTGTTCTGGAGTGGATAGAAAACTATGTACTAAGCTTTTTCTTTTGTGAAGGTATTTCAGCAGCAGGAGTAAAGCCAGGAGCCCTTAAGTCAGTTGGAGGAGGGGGCTGAATGCCTAAGGTTTAATTATAGCCTATGGGACAAATTGTGAATCCGAGATGACTGATCCAGCAGAGGTTTGTTTCCCAGAAGAGTACAGCCATTTATGCCAGGGGGATTTGCCCAGAGACTAACAGTGATAATAGGTCTTAGTAATTATTTACTACATGATTTATTTTTTGTGTGTTGCATCTCTCATCTCTTAAGGCTTTACTGCTAGCCCTACCTTCAGTCCACAGAAACAATCAATTAATAATAATATGCTATCACAACACTATGATTAAATTTTGGTTTTGGCATGCACATGAGACTTACAGGATGGGAAAGTTCATCTTGGCATTGCATCAGGCTTCTGAATAGATTGAAGTAGACATGAGCTATTTACACTTTATTCCTGTGTGGAAGACTGTTTCTGCAGCTAGAAGGTTTGGGTCATTTAAATGCATGGTAGACTGTTAGCTGTTTGACATTCTTGATTTTAATTGTATGCTGTTCTTGTAGCTATTTTGATCTGTAGATGTCAGAGGATATTACATTAATCCAGTAAGTGATTGAAGAATTTGTGGGAATATTAATTTTTCTAACCAAAGTGGTTTTGTTTCAGGTACCTCTAGTATCGACACAACCTGCACTATTTGGGGTCTGGAGACAGGACAGGTTCTGGGAAGAGTAAATCTGGTCTCTGGCCATGTGAAGACCCAGCTTATCGCACATGACAAAGAGGTGACGGCTTTTTTTTGATGGCTTGCATTGCATATTTTTTAAGCGGTAGAAAAGGAACAGAACTTTTCTGTTTTCCCCCTTTTTCTTGAAAAACCTAATAATCCAAAAAGATAATTTATCTAAGATTAAGATATACAGTTTTGAGTACCAAACTAAAACTATACTATTGGCTATCAAAACTACTCTGTTTACTCATCACAGAATCTGGACTTGAATATGCTTGTTTTACTAGCTTATGCTCCGGAATATTTTAGAAAAATGAGGTAAAATGTCAAACTGGAATTGAAAACGAATGTGTATCAAAGGCAATAAACAACTTGCAATATTCTTTCATTTTAACATAATATCACTTTTCAGCAATTAATATAAAAAAATCTGAGTCTGGGAAATGGATATATTTAGTTTCGGTGAATGATCCTATAATGACATAACCCTTTTAAGTTTTTCCGCCTCCTTTTGTCAAGTGTAATAACTGAAAACTTGCTAGGAACATCAAGTATTTGACAGAATGTCGCAACTAGATCTGCTATCCATATGTAAAATCCATTTTACTGTGAATTAGGAGGCAGTGTGCTCACTGAAACTAAGGTTATGTTTTTCTCTGTCCTGTTACTGAGCAGGTGTATGACATAGCGTTTAGCCGTGCAGGTGGCGGGAGAGATATGTTCGCTTCAGTTGGTGCAGATGGCTCAGTGAGGATGTTCGATCTCCGTCATCTGGAACACAGCACCATAATTTATGAGGACCCACAGCACCATCCATTGCTGCGTCTCTGCTGGAATAAGCAGGATCCCAACTATCTTGCTACAATGGCCATGGATGGCATGGAGGTAAGGTGGCAGCTCATCTTCCGCAGGTGCAAGTGGTTGTGTTTTTTTTTTTTCTTTGGAGGTGGCTTGGTAGTAATTAGTAGTCAGTTCTTTAAAGTAAGGGGGCAGTGTCAGTAGCTGAACTGGAGTATGATGTGCTGGGTCCTGCACTTGGGTCACAACAACCCCATGCAGCGCTACAGGCTTGGGGAAGAGTGGCTGGAAAGCTGTCCGGTGGAAAAGGACCTGGGGGTGCTGGTTGACAGCAGCTGAACATGAGCCAGCAGGGTGCCCAGTTGGCCAAGAAGACCAACAGCATCCTGGTTTGTGTCAGGAATAGTTTAGCCAGCAGGAGCAGGTCAGTGATCGTCCCCCTGTACTCGGCACTGGTGAGGCCACACCTTGAATTCTGGTCCAGTTTTGGGCCCCTCATACAAGAAGGACACTGGGGTGCTGGAGCATGTTCAGAGAAGGGCAGTGAAGCTGGTGAAGGGTCTGGCGCACAAGTCCTATGAGAAGCAGCTGAGGGAGCTGGGGGTGTTTAGTCTGGAGAAGAGGAGGCTGAGGGGAGACCTCATCGCTCCCTACAGCTGCCTGAAAGGAGGGTGTAGTGAGGGGGGTGTTGGTCTCTTCTCCCAAGTAGTTAGCAATAGGACAAGAGGAAATGGGCTCAAGCTGCGCAAGGGGAGGTTTAGATTGGATATTAGGAAAAATTTCTTTACTGAAAGAGTGGCCAAGCATTGGAAGAGGCTGCCCAGAGAGGTGGTGGAGTCCCCATCCCTGGAGGTGTTCAAAAACTGTGTAGATGTGGCACTTTGGGACATGTTTTAGTGGGCATGGGGGTGTTGGGTTGATGGTTGGGCTGATGATCTTAGAGCTCCTTCCCAACCTTAATGATTCCTAGTTTTACTTTCATTAAAAAATAATCCAGCCAGCACAGCAGGAAACCTGAAATTATGACTCTGCCCTTAATTGGTTTAGTGGTGGAGTTGGTAGTGTAGGTTAATGGTTGGACTGGATGATCTTAAAGGTCTTTTCCAACCTAAACGATTCTATGATTCAGGACCAATTCTTAGTGCAGGGACTTCAGTAGGAGTTACTACTTTAATTTTGGCGTTATAAACTTGAAGATCTCTATGGCTCGTATACATTTCAGCTGGTGTTTGAGGGGTCTGTGAGCCAGTTGGGCAATAGTTTTCGCATGAAATCTTAACTGTAAGTGTTTTAGTTACCTTGTTCTTTCTCAGTTCAGCACAAAAGGCAGCATATCTTGTGCTGCTTCAGGGGAGCATAATTCGTCTGCCCTTGTTGCATAACTTGCAAGCCCTCACTGTGAGGTCTGACTCCTTTTGAGACACACTAACCAACTAGAAGCTATTCTTTGTGAACAGTATTTGCTTGCCAACTGCATCCTTTAGGAAAGGGCTGTATTTATAGTCTTGGCTCAAAATACTTGGTTTTCTGAAGAAGCAAATAAAAAAAGAAAATGCAAGTTATTAATTTAGTTGGGTTTTGTTTCTCAAGGTTGTGATTCTAGATGTCCGAGTTCCCTGCACTCCTGTTGCCAGGTTAAACAACCACAGAGCATGTGTAAATGGAATTGCTTGGGCGCCTCATTCTTCCTGCCACATTTGTACAGCAGGTAGGTGTGATCCATTCCTGTCCAGCTGTGTTGGTGAACCTCTGAGAGTCTCTCACTGCATTTGCAAAATTCTCTCTCTCCAAAAGTTTATGCAGTTCTCTGCCTGCTTTTTGCTAAAGAATGCCTGCAGTTTAGAAGCCCTTTATTAATGACTTTCCTAAAATTTGTATGGAAATAGACACCGACTGGAGTGGAAGTAGTGAGCCCAGTGCCCAGACTGTGCATCCGCTTTGGCTAAGCTGTATTATTTTAATGCACCTTATTTTTTTTGCAATCTAGTTCTTAAATGTTTTCAGTTGATATGAGTTCCACTGATCATTTGTTTTTTCAGCTCTGTCCTGGATAATGTATAATGATCCAAGCTTATTTTTTTGGACCATAGTTGTGTCATTGTATCTCTGGCCTGAATACGCACTGGGACTGCAACAGGCATATCGTAGTAGCTTCTTGGACTATGTGCCTGTTAGTACTGTCATGTATGGAGATCTCGTTATACGTTGATTCTACTTGTGATTTTCTCTTCCATTTGCAGCGGATGACCATCAGGCTCTCATCTGGGATATCCAGCAAATGCCTCGTGCCATTGAGGACCCTATCTTGGCCTATACAGCTGAGGGAGAAATCAACAATGTACAGTGGGCATCAACTCAGCCAGACTGGATAGCTATCTGCTACAACAACTGCCTGGAGATTTTGAGAGTGTAACATTACTGCTTCATGCCACATTGAGGCAGGGCTGTATAATTTCCCCTCCCCTCTAAAGTAAGAACAACACAAGTCAAGTGGCCAGTATCTGTTGTTGCTTTCCATCTACTGTTACAAGAAACTGTTACAAGAATCCATGGCAGGTGTCTTCTGTCTCTCCAAGACTCTCAAATGCAGAGACATGCTGAGCCTCTTGGACCTTCTGGGTTCTGGTTTCCTTTCCCCCCCTCCCTGCCCCTCAGTTAAAGTTCTGTATATTTGTTTGTTGACTGTATTAATAAGCTTGCAGGCTTCTAAGTTGCTGCATATGTCCATGTATTTGTCAGCCAGCTGAGGCAGTGCATCCAACTAGTTTAATAGATGCAAGTGCAAAACAAGGTGGGGAAAAAGACACTGATGTTAACAGCCACCTTGGCAGGAATCTTTATCATTCCTGATGTTGGTGGCTTTTA